ACCAGACATGCTTTGAGCTCAAGGCCAGTGAAAGTAAGAAAATAATTGAATCAGAGCTTAGCTAAAGTTGAGAAACAAATAATCCATTCATGCAAAAATCCATTCAAAATCCATTGCAGAATTGATTTTTAACTATATCGTATAAGCCTTTCAAGACTGAGCTACCATGAGCGCCATATGCTCCATATGCCTCTGTAGAAACCATAAGAGGTTCATAAAAAAATGGAAATACATTTTAATTTAAAAAAAAATATTGGGAGCCAGTTTGGTTTGAAAAATCTCATTCAAACAATGGTTCTCTTCATAAAAGATTAACCTTTAGCTTTTATCCAAAGACCATAAATCTGCTCTTAGTAGAGACTAATATATATATATATATATATATATACACACATAAAGGATTCAAAGTGGTATTTTCTCAGAAATGCCATAGAAATCCATTTTGGATTCCGTAAAAAACCTTTCAGTGAACAGTTCTTAAAAGAACCATTTTGTCTGTGTTCAGAACATTTTTATAATCTAAAGAACCCTTTGCCACTGTAAAGAACCTTTTGTGGAATGGAAAGTTCCATGTATGTTAAAGGTTCTTCATGGAATCATCAATGCCAATAAAGAACCTTTATTTTTAAGAGTGTAGAGACTCAGTAGAAACTAAATTAAAATAGCATAATATAAATTGTTCTGATATGGTAGGGATGAGGATGTTTACCACTGCATTCAAGCTTGTATATATTCAGTGTTTATCTCTTGTCCATTTTTAGCCAAGGTTCTGGAGTGGGCCCTGCGATATGAGGATTATAAGAAACACCTTGTGGATCATTCAACGATGATGCTCACTCTCGCTGGACGGGTCACTCAGACTAAGCAGATTGTGGCCAAACGCTTCAACTTCAGAATGTGCACTCCAGATCTCGTTATTACTGTGAGTTTGAAAAACTTGAAAGCTATACTTCACCTGCTGGTGTTTATGAATGAATCTCACCCAGTTTAGTGAAATCATTTAATCCTAGGCCTAGAAACGAATTAAGAACCACTGATTATTAGCTGGGTGTGGAAAATTGAGTCTTTTTTTATAACTGTTTGTAACCTGAATGGTGTTAATGCAGATTGTGATTTGCCCTTTTAGCCTGGATGTGACTGTGCGGTGGGCAAAGAAGTGCCAATAAAAATCACATTCCAGAACCCACTGCCCTGCGTGCTGAAGAACGCAATTTTCCGTATCGAGGGACTGGGAATGAAGCACTGCAGATCGATTAACTATGGGTAGGAAATTAATCTGATTAGCTCACTATTAAACTATACAAAATAAGGGGACATGTAACCTGCAGCTGTTCCTTTTGATTGGTATATAGTTAAACATCTTACTTTCTGTCTATTTCTCAGTGACATTGCAAGCCTGGCCACAGTGAACCTGACCGAGACATTTATTCCTAAGTGTTCCGGCCCTTACAAACTTCTGGCTTCGCTTGATTGTCCTCAGCTGACTCAGGTGCATGGATTCACCGACGTTGTTGTCAAAGAAAAGTGAACAATCTCTCAAATAAGCAGAGGAGCAGAAAGCTTTCAGCATGCTTTTCACACAGAGTTAAAAAAGAGAGTTTTAGATATGTAATCCTTAGTAAAGGGTAAACCAAAGGGTGCATTTAATATTGGGAACTTGCTTTTAGATGATGATTTATGACAGACATTGTTTTTAGTAAGTAATTTTTTTTTTGAGTAATATTTTGGAATTATGCGTTCAAATTCTAGTTTCACATATTTTAGGAGAAATTGCAAATATTGAACCATTCTAATCATTCACAACTTCAACTGCTTCATTTTGTTAGTCAACCTAATCAAATGACCGGATTCGACGAAGGAGCGGCTGGCGGGCTTGCGGCAACCACATGTGGCGACCCTGGGCTGGATTCCGCTTCGTCCACGGTGAAAGCCGATCCGGCGATCCACAGCGCATAGTTTATGTATTCCCTCAGCGACCAGCACGGATCAGCTCTAGACATGGCAGCAGCAACAATACTACAGCGAGAATAAAAGTTACGCCTTCTTTCTTTGCGTGAACATTTGGGCGGCATTATGTAAATCTTCCCACATCGTGACGTAGACATGTGGCGGCGTGTTAGAACGAACCATTTTAGGTAGGCGTAGTTGCCTCTTAACTTTTATAAAGAATATGTCTTTGGATTTGAGACTTTAGTCTTTGCAACTTTACAGATCTTCTTTATGCACCAAGAGCTTGTAACACTTCAAAGAGAAAGGAAAAATTGAAATCGCATCATATGACCCCTTTAAATAATGTTAGTTTGAGACAAAAGAAAGTCCACTATAGCTATTTCTTTTTTTTCTATGAAATAATTTGTATTATAAAACGTTTTATTCACCCAACTGTTCTGTGTATCACTGTGCAACACCCATAGCAACATAATCAAAACTGTCCATATATTATTTAGCAAAATTAACTGTTTAATAGTATGTATTTAATGAATACACCGTAGCCTACTGCTGGCGATATGTTGCGTCATTCACCTTTAATTTTGAGGCAACGCGCTTCCCGTTGTCAAAAAACTCCTCTCATATGGGAGATACCTTGATGTGTGCACGTGTCTGTGTGGAAGCCCTCAGTTTCCTAAGTGTATTTATTAGTTTTCTGTTTCAGGTATGTTACCGTATGTCCATCAATTTACACTGTAATGCCGCTTGCAAACGCGGGCTGTGCCGCGAATCGGTCCCGGTGGCGAATTGTTAACGATCGCTGAAATTATATTCTTTACCTTTGACATCCTGTCAGCTGCATGGAAAACTATGCTGTTGAATTCAAGATAGTACACGAACCCAGTCAGTTCCAATCAGCAGAAAACGTTTTTAAGCTCTGTGCTGAACCTCTGAGTGGCGGGCTTTTCGAAGGTGAGACAAATTTTACCTCATTACAAATATTATTTGTTATTTTTTAAATTTATGAAAACATAAGAGTAATGTCATAACATTTTCTCCATCATGGAGGAAACTTTCATCTAATAATCACTTACATGACTCTTTTACCACAAATTGTAAGCCTGTCAGTGACTATAGAGGCTACAGTACGAAAAGTTCAAGAAGTTCAAATACATTGTGAGTGTGTTTATGTATCTCTTAACACTATAGTTTGTCTTATCTATACGCATTTCAATATTCTAAAAGCAAATTGACACGTAACCTTTATGACCTACATATTTAGAATAAACCAGAATTTCATATATTAAGCAGACATGATTCAATATGTTTCATTTTTTATTATTAATGCTGAGGCTGCATTTAGACGAGATTAACAATTAAATGAACATGATTAGTTTCAAAAGTTTTCATTAACATTACCATTAGAAAAACAACCAAAAGTAGACTCCAGGAAGTATTAAATGGTTAGATGATAATTACATAATGCAAAAGTTGCAAACATGAAACCAAAAATGACTCTCAGAATCTCTCAGATATAATTAATATACTAGACATGGATACTTCAGCTCTATCTCATATTTCATTCATTTCATTCACAATCAGGTATGATCATAATCTGCAGAAGAATGAATTACCAATCCCATATCCCGATATATTGCTTAAAGAAATTGCTAATCAAGAGGATGAAAAAATGCCAATAATCAGTGAGCTGCATTTGTTTTTTAGATTGATGCAAAGCACGGCATCCTTGCCCTCACATGGTCCGTCCTCTTTCAGGCTGACTTAACAGACAACATCCTCAGCACAGGGCAGTGGGTATGTGCATCTTCTCAACCCATGACGAAGGGCTGTTTCCAAAGCAGTGCACTTCTCTGAAGAATCTTATCATTGAAAGTTGAAGGAAAATTTAGAGAGGGATGAATCACAGGAGAGACACCAAACTTCATCATTTCTATAAGCACCATGGTTCAAAGTGTTGAGGGCTGAAGCAGATGTTTTAAGAGACATGCATGTGGTTTTTACCAAGTGGGTGTTTGTAGAGGTTTGTGATGTCTACACGTTGATCTGAGCCGACAGCCTTGGTACTGATGCAGTGACCTACTACATCTTTCTCAACGTGAACAACACCAAATGTTCCATTGCTTTTCCTTTGCCAGTAAACTTTATCATTGTTCACCTATAACACAAAGAGACAAACAGGAAAAATACATCATTATATGTTAAAGGGGTGGTTCAGTGGTTTTTTTCTAGGCTTGATTGTGTTTATGGGGTGCAGTCTAACATGTGTTAATGCTTCGTTTTTTTAAAAACGCATTATTTTCACATAATTTACCTTTATTCCACACCGCTCTGTCCCTTCTCTGAGAAACGCGCTGATCAATTTCCTGTTTTTATGAAGCCCCGCCCTCAGAAATAGGCGATGGGCTCTGATTGGTTAGCTAGCCCAGTGTGTTGTGATTGGCTAAACCGCCTCTAGTGCGCGTCTAAAC